GCTCGTGACAGGCCGAAGCCGCCCCCGAGCGAGACTGGCGCGGTGGACGCGCGTGACAGGCCGAAACCGCCCCCGAGCGAGACGGGCGCGGGGGACGCTCGTGACAGGCCGAAACCGCCCCCGAGCGAGACGGGCGCGGGGGACGCTCGTGACAGGCCGAAACCGCCCCCGAGCGAGACGGGCGCGGGGGACGCTCGTGACAGGCCGAAACCGCCCCCGAGCGAGACGAGCGCGGGGGACGCTCGTGACAGGCCGAAACTGCCCCCGAGTGAGACGGGTGCGGGGGACGCTCGTGACAGGCCGAAACTCTCCGAGCGAGACTGGCGCGGTGGACGCTTGTGACAGGCCGAAACCGCCCCCGAGCGAGACGGGCGCGGGGCAACGGACGCTCGTGACAGGCCGAAACCGCCCCCGAAACCGCCCCCGAGCGAGACGGGCGCGGGGGACGCTCGTGACAGGCCGAAACCGCCCCCGAGCGAGACTGGCGCGGTGGACGCTCGTGACAAGCGGAAACCGCCCGCGAGCGAGACGGGCGCGGGGGACGCTCGTGACAGGCCGAAACCGCTCCCGAGCGAGACGGGCGCGGGGGACGCTCGTGACGCCCCCGAGCGAGACGGGCCTTAAACCGCCACCGAGCGAGACTGGCGCGGTGGACGGTCGTGACAAGCGGAAACCGCCCGCGAGCGAGACTGGCGCTGGGGACGCTCGTGAGAGGCCGAAACCGCCCCCGAGCGAGACGGTCGCGGGGGACGCTAGTGACAGGCCGAAACCGCCCCCGAGCGAGACCGGCGCGGTGGACGCTCGTGACATGCGGAAGCCGCCCGCGAGCGAGACTGGCGCGGTGGACGCTCGTGACAAGCGGAAACCGCCCCCGAGCGAGACTGGCGCGGGGGACGCTCGTGACAGGCCGAAACCTCGTGACAGGCCGAAACCGCCCCCGAGAGCGAGACGGGCGCGGGGGATGCTCGTGACAGGCCGAAACCGCCCCCGAGCGAGACTGGCGCGGTGGACGCTCGTGACAAGCGGAAACCGTGACAGGCGGAAACCGCTCGCGAGCGACACTGGCGCGGTGGACGCTCGTGACAGGCGGAAACCGCCCGTGAGCCAGACTGGAGCGGTGGACGCACGTGACATGCGGAAACTGCCCCCGAGCGAGACTGGCGCGGGGGACGCTCGTGACATGTGGAAACCGGCGCGGTGGAGGCTCGTGACATGCGGAAGCCGCCCCCGAGCGAGACTGGCGCGGTGGACGCTTGTGACATGCGGAAACCGCCCGCGAGCGAGACTGGCGCGGTGGACGCTCGTGACGACATGCGGAAACCGCCCGCGAGCGAGACTGGCGCGGTGGACGCTCGTGACATGCGGAAACCGCGTGGACGCTCGTGACATGCGGAAACCGCCTGCGAGCGAGACTGGCGCGGTGAACGCTCGTGACAGGCGGAATCCGCCCGCGAGCGAGACTGGCGCGGTGGACGCTCGTGACAGGCGGAGACCGCCCGCGAGCGAGACTGGCGCGGCGGACGCTTGTGACAGGCGGAAACCGCCCGCGAGCGGGACTGGCGCGGTGGACGCTCGTGACATGCTCGTGACAGGCGGAAACCGCCCGCGAGCGAGACTGGCGCGGCGGACGCTCGTGACAGGCGGAAACCGCCCACGAGCGAGACTGGAGCGGTGGACGCACGTGACATGCGGAAACTGCCTGTGAGCGAGACTGGCGCGGTGGACGCTTGTGACATGCGGAAACCGCCCGCGAGCGAGACTGGCGCGGTGGACGCTTGTGACATTCGGAAACCGCCCGCGAGCGAGGCTGGCGCGGACGCTCGTGACATGCGGAAACCGCCCGCGAGCGAGACTGGCGCGGCTCGTGACAGGCGGAAACCGCCCGCGAGCAAGACTGGCGCGGTGGACGCTCGTGACATGCGGAAACCGCCCGCGAGCGAGACTGGCGCGGTGGACGCTCGTGACATGCGGAAACCGCCTGCGAGCGAGACTGGCGCAGTGGACGCTCGTGAAAGGCGGACGAGCGAGACTGGCGCGGTGGACGCTCGTGACCCTCGGAAACCGCCCGCGAGCGAGACTGGCGCAGTGGACGCTCGTGACATGCGGAAACCGCCCGCGAGCGAGACTGGCGCGGTGGACGCTCGTGACATTCGGAAACCGCCCGTGGGCGAGACTGGCGCGGTGGACGCTCGTGACATGCGGAAACCGCCCGCGAGCGAGACTGGCGCGGTGGACGCTCGTGACATGCGGAAACCGCCCGCGAGCGAGACTGGCGCGGTGGACGCTCGTGACATGCCGGCGAGCGAGACTGGCGCGGTGCACGCTCGTGACATTCCGGCGAGCAAGACTGGCGCGGTGGACGCTCATGACATGTGGCAACCGCCACGTGCGCGGCTCCATGTGAACAGCCCGGCGCTACCTGACCCGAACAAACGGCGCCAATGTGTTTCTAGGACGAACCCTCTCTTCAGAAGCTGTAGCCTCCTGGGGTTCGCCCTACTTATTTGGAAGCAGCCTGGAAGCACGTTGACATGAATATGCTGAGCACACTCGGCCCAAACAAAATTTAAAGGGCGCATGAACATCCGAACAGCTGACCCCGGTCTACGCAGATCGTGGTAACACTGTGTCTCAGACTTATTTCGGACAGGCGTCAGACCCACCAAGTGACCGAGGCTTGTCCACACCGAGCCCCCCGCAAAAGCGCAGCGCCGGCCCCGTCTCCACACACCTGCGGCGAATCCACCCAACTTGCCATCCACACGCGTGCGCGGCCCTTTCCACAAAGTCACCAGTTGCAATTTGTTGCGAATGGGAAAATAGGTGGAGAAACTAACGAATCCGAGCAAGCTTACCAAGCAAGTTTGTGAAGGCCACGTGCACGGCTCCATGTGAACAGCCCGGCGTTCCAGGTGCGCCAACATTGTCATTTTTGCCGCACACCTGACCCAAACAAATGGTGCCAATGTGTTTCTAGGACGAACCCTCTCTTCAGAAGCTGTAGCCTCTTGGGGTTCGCCCTACTTATTTGGAAGCAGCCTGGAAGCACGTTGACATGAATATGCTGAGCACACTCGGCCCAAACAAAAGGGCGCATGAACATCCGAACAGCTGACCCCGGTCTACGCAGATCGTGGTAACACTGTGTCTCAGACTTGTTTCAGACAGGCGTCAGACCCACCAAGTGACCGAGGCTTGTCCACACCGAGCCCCCCGCAAAAGCGCAGCGCCGGCCCCGTCTCCACACACCTGCGGCGAATCCACCCAACTTGCCATCCACACGCATCCAATTGACAACGTGCGCGGCCCTTTCCACAAAGTCACCAGTTGCAATTGGTTGCGAATGGGAAAATAGGTGGAGAAACTAACGAATCCAAGCAAGCTTACGAAGCAAGTTTGTGAAGGCCACGTGCACGGCTCCATGTGAACAGCCCGGCGTTCCAGGTGCGCCAAGATTGTCCTTTTTGCCGCACACCTGACCCGAACAAATGGCGCCAATGTGTTTCTAGGACGAACCCTCTCTTCAGAGTCTGTGGCCTCTTGGGGTTCGCCCTACTTATTTGGAAGCAGCCTGGAAGCACGTTGACATGAATATGCTGAGCACACTCGGCCCAAACAAAAGGGCGCATGAACATCCGAACAGCTGACCCCGGTCTACTCAGATCGTGTTGTAACACTGTGTCTCAGACTTGTTTCAGATGGGTGTAGAGCGAGCTTATGCCTTGCTTCCAATTTGGGAGTGGTAGTTTGTGCGGATCCATTTTCGGATTTCTGCGATTGGTTCTTCATGATGAATCGGATGACTTCGTGCCTTCCATGTAGTGCGGGGCCTGTCATGTTTCACCCGTGCCTTTGCCTTTTTCTCTGTGCTTGGTCAGAGCACAGGCTGCTGGCTGTCAATCCGGCTTGAGTCGCGGTTGCTCCCCTTCTTCATCTGTTTTGGGGTTGATTTCCCAACTGTGAACAACTTAAATCTTGGTTTGCCTTCGGACCCTTGAGCCGGAAAACAACGGGATCCACATGCCATGGGGAGTGAGGCTGGTTTGCTTTTGGGTTCCCGGGCTCCTCTTGTTTGTTTGGGGGGGGGGGGGGGTAATTTCAGGACACACCAACTTCCGGCTATTGCAGCCATGGCGCTTGAATCCGCAGTGAGGGCGGGGTGGTCAGCCTCAGCCCGCATCTCTACACACCAACCCAACACCGCAAGCCCTTGGAATGTCCAAACGTCTGACTGACTTATACCGTTGGCTATGACCTTCCCACAAAGTAATTAGGTTGAACAGCCAAGCAAAAAACCAACACACTTGAATCTGAGGGAAGACAATGGCCACTATTGCAGCTTTTGCGTTGATGTGTTCTCCCTAGGCACCACTTTGCAGGCAAATCAAGCAGGGAATCCGCCCATCCGCTCCACTGAAACTATGCTCCATCCACTAAATCCAATGGGAATAAACATTGGTCAGCTAGAATGTAGGCTCGTCCATTAAAATCTCTAGAGGCCACCATAGAGCCATTGACGTGACGTGCACATTGCTGAGTCCCTCATGTTTTTCATGGTGCCAGCTCTGCTCATATCTGCGGAATGCGTGCTTTGCGGCGCTGAGGCTTTGCAAGCCAAACAAGCAGCTCACATCAAATCGAGTCAGGTGTTCCCCCCAGGGAGGTCGCCCTTTACTGCCATCCCATCCGCTGGTATCGGCTCATGACTTTCAGGGACCGACCGAACTTTACAAGCCCAGCGGCTGAAAGGTAAACGGCTCAGCGTGGTCTGGGCGCAGGGGCACAAGGTAAGCTCTTTTGCGCTGTTGCTTGGTTGTTTCTTTCACTTGAACATGTGTTTTCGCGTATCATCCAATCAATCAATTGAGAACGCGACGCAAAACCGAATGAATTTCTTTATATAGTGTACCCCTCCCGCACCTTGTATAGGCATGATAGGGTAAGGCATCCCATTCTGGGTACAAAACTCATTTCGGAAAGCTCTTCACCAGCCAGCTTGGCCTCCTGCGACCCCACACTCAGTTGAACACCCTAGAGCAATATAGCAAGCAAAAGACATGACACTTTGCTCAAGCAAAGCCAGCGACCCTTGGCCACACAAAACAAGCACTGGGTGGCAACCAGGGGATCTCGCACAAGTAGAAACCCATTGATGCACCCCAGTGCCTGTGAAATCAATTGGAATTAATGGACACGCGGTTCGTCCAAAATGGCGGAGCCCCGAAAATGGCAGTGTCCTTTTGGTTTCTCCTTGAAACTAGAGTGCCTTGGACAGCGCAAATACTGGCAGAGTTTGACTCAAGGCTCAGTCAACCCCCCCGTAAAACCCTTGGCCTTGAGGGGTTCTCAGAAGAGTTCGTACACGCACGGTGGTGGGTTGATGTGGGACATCTCAGAACATCGACGGCAAAATGGCAGCCAGCGGCACTCAATCATACATATTACATATATACAATATACATATGTCTATATATATATATAAGAATATGATGCCATTGGCCCACTACACATTCCACTACACATCGCCCTTCACAAACACAAACTTCCTTCGTCCAAGCAAAGAGCATGTACTAGCATGTAAGCATCTACATTGGCCACCTCTGTCAAGGGCCACTGGAGTTCCACCTCGAATTTACTGGTGGTTGTGCTTGTTCCAAACAGGGACATGGAGGACCAGGCGACATGGGTCAAACATTCCTGATGAACAGGCGCCACAAATGGCAACATGGGTGAAATATGCGTGACTTTTACAAAACGGGTACTCGTACCCTTCCACCAACCATCATGGAAGTGCACAAAGCCCTTGTAGAGAGGTCTGTGCACTTCAATATTGGTCGGCGGGAGTGGACATATCCGTTGGTTTCCCCTAGCGCATCCAAAATGGGTCCACCCATTTGATCAGCACAAGCAGACCACACTTGACGATATTGTGGGAATTTTGCTGGGATCCGACAAAACTAAAGCCCGGGCCTTTGCATTTTCCGAAACAGGGGGCAAGTCAAAACCCACAAGTAGGGATGTCCCTTTGATTGTTGGAAAGCTAATCAAACCCAGCTTCCAGTTGAAGCGATGTGCGTTCCATGTGAGGCTACGGCAGATACTTGCGACATGCTTGAATGGTGTTCCCACCTCGTTCTCCAACCTTCCCGCGTGGACTCCTGGACCTCGTTTCCTAACGCCGCATGTTTGTGATCTCACCCACCTGTATGCCTGGGTGGTCCTATCTTGTTTTGAACCTGTCCCAGATGTTACCCAAAACATGTTTCCGCCTGGCCTTCTTCGTAGTCTTCTGCAAATTAAGGCAGTCTCTAGGGCCAAGAGACTTCCAAGACTGTACCCCTCTTTTAAGAGAAACCAGGCATTTTCCGCACTGCCGGGGCTTCAAAAACAAACCTTGGCCACTACAAAGGGTCTATATGAAAGGAACACAGTCACTGAACATGGCCTCATACGGGGTGCATGTGCTTTGTTGGGGAAGGTGCCATCGCTCTGTGTGGATGCACTGCAACACCATTGAACAAAACAACGACGTGATCTCAAATAGAAGCGGGCCCTGCCTGTCCCAGGAAGCACGGGTGGCGCAAACTCCTAGCGCGAGCTGAAGGCAGCAGAAGGCGTCTTGCTGACGAGAGCTAAGCCAGATCGATCCGTGTTTGCTTGAGTGTACCTTTGTTGGGGTCAATAAAGCGGAAAAGTTAAAGGACACCAACCATCCTTATGCTACCTCTCTTCTGACAAAACATGACACAACAATGGTGGCGATACAACTTTTGGTTGGACATCAATTCATGTTATAGAGATCTCTCGGATGTGCACGCCAGCTTCCATCAATCCGAGGAATCCAAGATCATCGTCCAAGCTTACAAACGCTCTTTTTGTCCAACATTCGCCGAGGAGTTTCGCACGCACACATTCTTGGCCTTGGCTGGGAATTGATGGTTTAACCCACTTAGCTGAAACAATAGCAGGGATCCTTACATGCAACACCTGAACATTGCCTTGTAAATAGTGGTTTCCCTTTATTTTAGTGGAAAAAGCCATGTTTCAAATGGGCAACATGTATCTTTTGAGTCATCCAGATGGACCAAAGTCTTAGGAGAGAGACAACAGCACCCGCCCACCGAAAGGTTGCGATGGAGCCCGCTGATCGAACGAGCCAACCGGCCAGCGAGCGCCTGACTGCGGGCCCGCGAGGCATAGGTCCGCGCCCTTGGCGCCGCCTCGGGATTGGCGAGGCCGCCGCCTCCGCCGGAAACCTTTGCCCAGGGGACCCCCATTGGAATTCCTTCAGATTCCGAAAGCAAGCAATTCCGAAAGAAAGTATCCCCAACACAAAAGACACATGTCTATATATATATATGTATGCATGTATGTTTATATGCATATATGTATGATAATTGTGACATGTACACACCAAAGGTCCAGGTCTGCCTTGGCTTTAGCAACCCAACCCAAACACCATGTTTCCTGAATTTTGATCTGTTGTTTAACGCCAGCTTTTCAGAGCTGCCGGGGTTGCTGGTGAAACGCCCCGAAGAAGACATGTGTAGGACGACGAAATGAACCCAGGGAAAAACTGTGCGTTGCACCGTAATACAACCCCCAATGACGCCAAAGGATGATCTACTCCTTGTGGTCTCCTCGGAAATGAATGAACATATGGGTCGTCTCCAAATGGGATATGAAACTCTCCAAACATGATTGCTTTTCGGTGTCCAGTTGAAGCAATTCCAAAAAAGAGTACCCTCGGACACCCCCCCGCCCCAATATCGTGAGTTTGTCTAGCAGCTCCTGCCCCAAACAAGGACCGTTGAATTTCCCGGCACATCATTTCACCATTCAAGTTGGAAAGCCCATCAATGTCACAGCTTCTCGCAACAAGTAAACCATCTGGTACAAATCCCAGAGCCTTGTGTCACATGATTTGAACACGTAGAAAAACTGAAAGTTCAACGCGTTTGAGATTGGGGTGAGCCAGTCAAAATGAGGTAGCCTCCGAATGCTGGATTTTTATACTTGCTTTTCTTTTGGCTCACGCACCAGGAGGAAGGGTCTCTCTTAAACCAACCTCAATACCATATCCGAAAAGGCGAACATGTTGGAAACCTGAAGCTCACTTCTTAAGTCCAAACTTTGTAACCACTAACACGGTCCAAACACCAAAAAGTGACGATCAAGGCCAGTTGAGCTCAGGGTAGTGAGGAAAACGCATACTACCTCGGGCAAGGACCACACCCACCGGGGCGCGCGCCAGCACGGAGCTGCGACGGCTGGGAACTTCGAAGCTCATCGTCCTGTGACTCGTGACGCGCGTCTCGCGTGGGAGGGCTCGTCTCGCCAAAGGGTGAGCCACGGAGAAACTTGCTGGCTCTCCAAGAGGACATTTCATATTTATTGGGAAATTGACATATTCCACACACTTTGCCACACCCTGCCTGGGTTGGACAAATCGAATGGCTGGTTTCATGTGACCCACACCTGGTTGTAAAGGTTTAGAAAGCACTCACAATATAAATATATAGATACAAATATATTCCCTAATGCAACAGGGGCCTCTCGGTTTAGCTAGAAGACCCAGCAAAAACAACACCATGTCATGGCATTGCCCAACCAGGAACCAGGCCGCTCAGAAGCCAACCTAAACAGGGATTCTGATTTGTATTTCCCCTCACTTTAAACTGACCAAACCAACGAGAATGTATATGTCTGAAAATAGGAATCGAACCCAACAAAAATGGCTTCGGATTTCTTTTTGGTTTCCCTTAAAACCACCAACAAAGAGGTGCCAACTCCAAAACCCGTGATGCTAAAAGCGGCCTAAGGGAAACATAGCAAACCCTGGACCTAGACCGAATTCCGACTGAATTCCCTTTTGTCATTCAAACATTATCAACTTTTGGGGCTCCTCTGTCTAGTGGGTGCGGCTTCATCCGAAGTTGACATGGCACCGCATAGGCGACGCCGCCTTCAACCGAACTGACCGCTCAGCTGAGCTCCGGCCTGGGATGTGTGGTAGTGCTTTCAGACTCGCGCGCAGAATGAAAGGAGCTCACCTGCGAGCAAGCTGCAGGATCGGTTTTCTCACTTCCTGAGTGGCACAACAAGAGTCACGGAACTTGGTATTTACAATTAAAATCAGGAGTGAGTTTTTCCTGCAGCTTTTCTTCCGTTTGCTTTTTCGCCCGCTGCAAAATGGGAGCATATTTCCAGAATATATATATATATATATGCCTACCTTTTGGCTGCCTCTCCAGTGCATGAATTGCCCATCTAGGACTGGGAGGAACGATCTCTCAACTAGGACCAGGACCAAATGAGACTAGAACCCAGGATCTCTGAACTGGGACTAGGACCAAACTAGGACTAGACGACCCACCTCAGATTCTTACAAAAAATGAACTTCAAGTATAACTTCCTCTGCAATGTCCTGTATATTTTCTACTTGTTGCAGTAAACTAGGGAGCAACCTAACACTAGAACCAAGGATCTCTCATCTAGGACCAAACTAGGACTAGACCATTTAATTCTACTTCTTATAGTATTTGGATGTCAAGTATTACATTCTGGTGGAAAAAAAGGTCCTGTCTAATATTTGGTCCTAACATGTAAATTCTGACTGGATATTCTCCTTATTTCAAATTCAATTGTGCAGCTAGAAGTTGCATAGAACTTGACTAATATATTAACTACAATTCATAACGAACTTCCTTTGTAGTGTCCTTTATACGTTCTATGTATTTCAGTAAGCTGGGACCATACTTGGCCTATAACCAAGGATTTCCCAACTAGGACTAGGACCAAACTAGGACTAGCTAGTTCTGAAAGTGATTGAATTTCAATGTACAATGGTCTATTGGACATAAAATAGTTTGTGCCATTTAATTTGACATAAACAGTCAATATTTAAGTTCGAATCTAAATCGCAATTTTGGCTGGAGTATGTCCTTCTTAAGCTCCATTGAATTTCAATCAGAAATAAGGTTGAATTTGATAAAACATACTAAGTGGAATGCATAAGGAAAGAATCCAAAGGTCCCAAACTTGTGTCTTTCACTAGTCCTAACACTACCTTGGTCAGAAAACACCGTAAACCACAGTGTTTTGTAGCGATTTTCATACTCAATTCACATCTCCACCAACGAACGCTCTCTAAATGCTCATTTGAACTTGAACAGGATTCAATTGGGACTCAATACGGAAATGTTTGGTCAGAATCCTAATGGTAATCAAATTTGAGATTGTGAGTTTAAATAGAGTTCCTTTCCTAATATATACTTGTAATTCAATATGAGATTTAACAGGATTTGATAAGGAAATAACCCATATTCTCTAGACAAGTCTTCTTTGCAAACGCGAGTCCAGGCCCGAGTGAAACCCATTGAGACCGACTGAAATTTCAGTTGAGCCTGGGTTCAAGATTCCCTAGAAAACTTTGACCTGCAATCTTGAATGCGGGCCTAGATTGAAACAGATTGAATGAATAATCAGAACTCGGATGCTTGCACAACACTGTGCCAAAGTACAGCCGCGCAAAGTGCAATGTTGAATTTGGGTCTCGATTTAAGCCGATTTAAATCGATTTAAGTTTAAATCGGGCATGGATTCAAGATTCAAGATTCAAGAATCCAGGCCAAACTTTTCCAGGGATTCTTGAATCCAGGCGTCGATTTAAACCGATTTAAACCGATTTAACTTAAATCGGGCATGGATTCAAGATTCAAGATTCAAGGCTCCCTGGAAAAGTTTGGCCTGGATTCTTGAATCTTGAATCTTGAATCCATGCCCGATTTAAGTTAAATCGGTTTAAATCGGTTTAAATCGACGCCTGGATTCAAGAATCCCTGGAAAAGTTTGGCCTGGATTCTTGAATCTTGAATCTTGAATCCATGCCCGATTTAAATTAAATCGGTTTAAATCGGTTTCAATCAAGCCTGAAGCTTCCAGAACGTCCTTGGAAATGCTTCTTTTTCATTGCTCTCCCCAAAGCCCAAAAAAGGGTAGAAAACACTGCAAATACCAGTGAATTCATCAAAAAGGTAGGTCCCTGGGGGGGGGGGGGGGTACCATATATATATATATATTATAGTGAGAGGTTCCATTTAGAACCAACAGAGGAAAATAACCAAATATTCTTAAGCAAATGGAAGTTTTCAGTAGATGAGTTAGGAGGACCCCAAACTGTCCCTTGAAATGTCCTAGAAAGTCCCCTTCCGGTTGATTCCCAAAACCCCAGTCAGTTTCCTTGCTGAGAGCCAGTAAATTGTTTGCAGGAAAAATGGTGTCGGTTTACCCCCACCCCAAAAATAAATGCGTTAGATTTGAATTGGTATCTTGATTGACATCAGTCTTGTGACTACCGTGCCTAGACATGGCAATAAACCCTTGCATTTGTATCTCTCTCGACCCCATGCGATGAACACACATGCCAATAACAGTTTGGTCTTGGAAAGGATATGCCCCCATTACGTAGCTCGCTTTCCTTGGCCAAGGCCGTTGTTGCAAGTCACAGGGTTGCGGACGAGAAACTTTGTGGATATACCATGCTCACCTTTTGGAGGAGAGGCATGCCTCCCCAACCCCTGTTAAAGTGGTTTGTCGTAGGTTCTGGCCGTGGCAAATAAACAATCCACATTCACTAAATTTAACTACAATCAAACAATAAGTAAGATGAAACAAACATAAACACATAAATGAACATGAACATAAAGGAACACCTCAATATACATAAATAAATGAATAAACAAATAAGCACATGAGTAAAACAAAAAAATAACTCAACAAATAAATTCACAACCCAATGAATCAATAAATCAATACATATATATATATATATATAAACGTACCGAGGCCCAACGCTCGATTCGCCTGCGAGGGCTGCCGGGTGCTTGGCGCAGCTGGCTCGCTAGTGCCACCGAGGTTCAGCGCCAGCACATCCAAACTGGCGCGAGGGACGCGAGGTTTCCAAAGGGACCTCCATCCGGGGAACTGCGGCTCCATATTACCAGGAACAAAGTCGGGCTAAGTGGTAGGCTAAGACGCTTCCAGGTTGCTATTTTGTTGCTGATTTGCAGTTGCTAGGAGGTTGAAGGGGTCTCCCTTAGCATTCAGAGGTTCAAGCCCACAAACCGTATGGGGGATTCCTGAAATTTGAAGCCCAGCTTCTGTTCCAAACGCAGAAGGAAAATCCACTCTCCAAGGGACAACTGTGATTTGCCGTTGGAGTCTCCGGTTAGCTCCAGATTCCGCAAGATCGCTTCCCACTCATTAAGTGGCGGCACTGCGCTCGTACCATTCTTGAAAGTGTCCAGTCATGATTCCTAGGCCGGACACCCAACATCGACCCCGTGCCCCAGGACTCGTGATGGGCCCGTCTGGCGAATCGTGCGTGCTCTGGTCGTGAAAGTCGAGCCCCTGGCTATTGAAGGTCCATGGCTTCATGTACCACGGTCGCTCTTCCTCGGTTCCTACATTACTCTGCATGGCCTGCTTCAATACCGCCTCTAGCCCCTAAGTGGAGATTCAGGGAAACCACCCTGTTTCTGACTGACACCCCCAAGAAAGCGTCAAAAGAATTCAGGGATTTTGTTTAGGTTTTCAGCTGCCTTTGCAATCACAAGCAATGCCCACGCGAGCTTCATTCTAGAACGCCCAAGCTCCCTATAAGCCATCTATGGTTGATATTGAGCCAAAATGGAATCAAAGGGTTGTGTCGCTTGTTTCGGGGCGATAACATGTCTATTGGTTTCACTCCTCTCTTGTTGAGAAACATGGTTTGGGGGCTCCCACCCATGGACAACATGCGCTCCTTTGGGCCCAAAATGCGATCCTGTCTTTGAATTGCTTCTCATTTCCTATAACCTCTCCATGGTATGGTCGGCACACAGCCAAATGTAAGGTAAGGTTTTGTCAGGGAAAATTGGAGGCCCCAGCCCACGTTGGCACGCGGACGTCCACTACCCAACGAACAAGTCCCCGAGAGTCAGGATCCCATCGTCACTTGCGTCTATAAGAAATGGGTTCTCCAGGAGCTCGGGGAGTGAGAAAGAAGACCCTAACAGACCCTAAGCCTTGTTAGGATCTGATAATTCTATTGGGTCGCATTGGGGGAGCCCATGCCAATCCCCTACATGGCCTGCTTGAGGGTTTGACTTGATCAAGCCAGTGAGAGAAAGAAGGTGTAATCCCAGGCCACAATATATCTATTTCAATTAACTGACAAACATGTGGGATCATGAAGGTATGAATGGTAACTGGAGACATCCCCCGAACTACTGTGGACGGACGAAATAATGCATCACTTTGAAACCATGAAAACCACTGTTTGTTGGTATTTACAAGGAAAACAACATTCTAGAATTTCTGAACGGTGGTGCGAAATGGATTTTGCAACTAGTGTACGGTATGGGGTACTTGCTGGTGTTGAGTTTTAAATAAGCGATTGAAGCTAGGGATTCCCTGACAGGAAGCCCACAAGGGATGATTTTTCTCCAGGATGTCGCCCTAGCAAGACTATGGGGAACCCCTGTAGGTTCTTTTTAGTCCTCTTTTAGTACTCTTTCAATATCCAGGGGTGGATCCACAGATTCGCATCCAAACCGATTTCAAGAATGCTTCAAGAATCACCGCACCCCTTTTTGGCCAGGGGACTGTCCCTTGCCCTTGTGTGGTTTTGAGGACTCAAAGAAAAAGCGGAGCCATGCGCAGCCCAGCCCAAGACGTTTGCCGGCGCCGCAGGCGCGTGAGGTCGCACCGCTGGAAGCTCAGTTGCAGCGAGGCTGGGCGCAGCGTGGCCTAGCGCGCAGGTTCCGCGCAAGGTTCCGCGGGTGTGCGGGTGGTGGGAACCAAATGGTAGCCACATACTACGTACGTACGTAAAAATGCGAACAAAGGAATAGAATAGATAAATAATATGATATATTTACCTGTGTATGTGTGTATATATATATATATTATATATATATATATTCACTCCATGTTTCTTTTCTTTTTTTAATTGAACACAAACAATAGGCAGATAAATAGATATAGATATAATAGTACATTTGCCTTGATTCTATTTCATTTTGAATTGAAACCAATCCAATCTGCACATCACACGCCTCCAGGTGCGAGGGCTGCTGCCGCAGCTGTGCCGTCACCCCCAGGCGCGTGGGTCGGCCTTCGCCGTCCTGCGGGGCATCGGCGTTTTTGCGTTTTGCGTTTTGCACTGCCCGGTCTCACTTCCTACATCCTGAGCTGATGGTCCGAAAAATGCAACCCTTGACCTGTTGCTTGCCCCTACAATGGCCCAAACCTCCAAAAAGTGACTCAAGCCCAGGAACTCAGGAAGAATCCCCTGGTGTTTTGGTGACTTGATACTCTCAAATTTTACACAGGGTTGCCCCGCACAAAATGGCACCCTCGGCTTCATTTGATGTTGTGGCGGAAAAAGGGTCACCCTGCTTTGCGTCATGAGTTTGATACTCTAAAGGGGGTTAGCCTTCCAAATGGTGAAACAGGAGAAGTAGCAAGACGAATCAACACGTTAAAGGTCTGGGTTTCAGCAGCTTCCAAGTCAGTGAGTAATGTCAACTCTGGACTGACCCGCAGTTTTGGCAGCGAAATGAACCATTTTGGAATCTTGAAAGGTCGGGTTTGAACGAATTTGAAATGATTCAGCATGCATCCAAAGGACCCTCATCAGGGGTTGCTCCCTTTTGGCAGGGTTCATCACCTGTTCACGCGTCGTGCAGGGATTTCCCCGAGGGTTTGAAACTGACTCCAAACAATCACTATTTTAGGAGGTTTTCCCCCCTTCTTAATTTCTGCATTGATCATCTGAACCTCTGTCACTTGCTTGACCTGAATTGGACAGCTCCCCCCAACCTGCCGACCACCAATGCAAACCATCAATCAAGCCAAATGAGAGGATGCCGGATAAACACCCTCACTATTTTCAAGAGCTCCCCAAATCAAAAGCCGCAACTTAGAGGTACATTCCAGAAATCCCAATGTTTGACATCCAATCAACGAAGGGACTCACAAAGAACCAGACACGTGTCAAAGGGACCTGACCTTGAATTCTCTCGTTTACCGATCGTTATGCATCCAACTTTCAATCAAATTCAAGCCAACAATAGGGTGTGTCTTTTTATATACGAATCGGACGCGTTTTATTTTGTTGGTTTTCCTTCTGGTTTCCCTTTATAGCCACTCCACAAGGGGTATCCTCAAGAAAAGACACACGAGACCCCAGCGACCTTCCAATCCAAGCGCCGCGACCACCAATTTGATCGATCCGCTTTTCCTGCAGCAGCGAGGCGGGGGTCATGGCCTTGCCCGCGCTGCGCAAGTCCACCTGGCGAAAAGGATGCGATACGCTTCCTTTGGCCGTCAATCAGACCCTTGGCGGTTTGGACTGGGGCTTTGTTTTTTTCTTGTAGAGGGTAAACGGGAAGCCGCGGAAGACCTCCAAACCACCAATTAGGGGTAAGGTGAGTCAAGGTCGAGTCAAGGCTCTTCCTTAAGTAAAAACAAAAAACTGTGTATATGCGGTCTGTTTCTGTCAAGGACAAAATCAAAAGATGACTGTATGGACCCACCGCATGGCCATTTGGAGCTGTCGTATGCTGTAGTGTTGTTCCCTAAGAATCAACATCGAAATAGCCTTCGGATTCAAGCCTTGGGCTTATACCCTTGGGACATTCGGAATAGCTCAGAAAAAAAGGCTGCTATGGGTCCGGTCTATTCTTTTTCGGGTGCACAACACCTCGCGTACCATCCCACCAATGGAAGCGGTTGGTGCAGGAAGAGCCCCCCCAAGACAACGTTAAGGGCCCCAGCTCTGCGCCTTGGTAATCATAAAAATGTCAGCCTTGCAACCGAATGGCGTCAGGTTGCAGAGGTTCACGTTAAAGCACGTGCCGGATGCCGCAAAATAACGTGCAGAAGCATTGGGTAGACAGTAGCTTGCACTTTGGCTCTGGTAATTTATTAGACACGTGGATCTTTCTTCAGACTTTGGGATACACCTGCAGAAAACACAGTTCATCTCTGTGGATGTTGGGTATACCCCGACTCCAGATTGTGAGTACTTCCCAAGGCTCCCGATGCGGGCTAGGGGCTCTCATTGGCGCCCGAGGGAGTGTATTGGCGGGATCATGGCCCCTAGAGAAAAAATATAACCAGAAAATAACTTAGTTGACATTGGAAGGGGAGCAAACAATATTTGTTAGCAGTTAAGTGGTTGGATTTCAACCACTAAACCACAATAAGCAAAAATTGGAAAATGTTTCCCAACAACAACCAGAACATTTGGGGAACCTTTTGGACCCGTGACTTAAGCTTTACATGCTCAACCACGTCAGGTAAGGATTTCACCATGGCGATGTCACTGTGGTAATGACATGCAATAACTGGGAGAACTGAAACATGCTGCCGGTCCATTTGAAGCGGAGGGCACCGAAGAACCCAAATGCTCCAGTACAAATATGCACGGATTCCCATGATTGGTCAAGTAAGCCATTGCCACCCACCCGCAAATGGCTTTGTTGTGGATAAGCTTCACGTGTTCAGATGCGCCTCTCCTTGTCTACAAGTACTGCGGTGTCACCGAATGTCTCAAAATGGTGAACCCTCCCAACTGTAGCTCCCTGTATTCTACCTGCTCAGCAGAACGGGATTCGCTTTTGCTGCAAAGGAAGCACACCCGAACCCATCCCTTGTATGGCTTCCAAGGCTGCTCATGAAAAAAACATCAACGCATACACAAGCATGCCACAAGAATCCTGATACCACACCCGCCAAAGACCTTTTGTCAAGTCCCGAGCTTTCCAGCAGAGCCACTGAGACTCCTTTGTGACACTTGGGGTGGGACAGCCCGGAGCTCCTAGCCTTCCGGAGGTCTCTTTCCTTCTAATCCAAAGGTTCCTGCCACCTGGGCCAGATTCCTTCGGGCCCCACCCGCCACCACCCCCAAACCTCCCCCAACCGGAACCGCCTCGCTGAGCTCAATGTCCACCTTCCGGCCCAAGCTGTGCAACGTCACGTGCCCAAAGTCCGCCACCAACAGCTCCTCCGTGCGCCATGCCGCGCAATTTCGACGCAGAGCCCATTGTTGCAGCTTCCCCCTAAGGAGCCTCAAAACCGATGAACCTGTCATACCCAAGCAAGACACAATGTGTTTTTGGGGGAAGCACGATGTTCTCAAATTCGAGCACTTCAATGTTTCAGCAAGCCACAATTCTGCTTTACCAAACAATGTATGCATGCACTATGGATCACTATTGCTATAGTTGGTGGTCTGGAGCCTGGTGGTTTGATTGTGAACGGGGCCGTTCCCATTCACCCTCTACCAAAGCCAGGGAGTGAAATCCCCAATCCACCAATCTAAACCACCAAGTATTGTTACCTGACTGTTAGGTCACTGGGTCATTGCTGAAGGTACCCTTCCGTATGCCCCTGATAATACCCATTGCCTATTCATAATACAGGCATGAGACACGTCTTAATTGCATATCAATGCGCATGCAGCCAAGACTCTTGGTAGCCTGAAGCTGCTTCTATGTTTGGTAACGGAATACCGAGTCTGGCAATGCAACGTTCATTCGAAAGATACATAACATGCAACATGTCACAAGCAAGAACAACGGTTTCAGCCCTATCCACCAGATGATGCCCGGCTTTGCTGAGGTTGGCTTGCTACAAAACACACATGCGCCTGTCAGTGAAAGAAAAGCACTCCCAAATATTGGAACACCCAAACGATGATGTCCCTCAGGGAATGGGAGAAAGGGACCTGCAGCTATCAAAGACAGGCATCGTCTCAAGCCTTGGGTGGCACCCCAAATGCACCTGCATAGAAACCCTCGCCTGGGATTGCCTCTCGATATGCAGGGCAACATACTGGTTTGTTACTCTCCAAACCGGAAGGAACCAACCACCAAACAACCATTTGTAGGATCGGAAACTGGGGGTAAAACACCGCTTTCAACAAGCGGAAGAAAAACATGATCATTTTTGGGAAGGTAAAACACGAGCGGAAGAAAACGACAACGATCTCCTCGCTGGTGGCTTTGAAGTCCATCACGCCGTTGATGTCCTCCAAGGCACCGCCAGCCTTGGATGCCAAGATTCGGGGCGCGGCAGAGGCAGTTTTGGGCACTGCCCAGAGTTTTGGGCACGCGATTTGGGGATCAGAGGGTGCGGGGGGGGGGAAAAAATAGAAGAAGTAGGGGGCCTGGGGGGAAGTCTGTTGAGGGTTGCCTGTTATGGTTTTTATGTTCATCTCAAATCTATGTTCCCCCTTATTCGTTTTTAAAAGAGGGTTTTTGGGGAGCTTATTTATCGTTTTCGTTAAGGTAATCATTTGGGTAAATTGTCGCCTTGTTCATTGTTGGGCTGGGGGCAAACATTTTTTTCATTTGAAAGAGGTAGCCCTTTTAGTAGTTATCAAGTTCTGGGGTGTTGGTGGGTCGTTTGTTTCTTTGACGTTTATCTCTACAATTATTTATTTTTGTTCTACACTCTTGACAATATTTATATCTTCTTCCACTTTTTACATTTCCAAATTCATCAATTGTTTTATCATAAAGGCATCTGTTGCATTTGAAGAATTCACCATAGTCTTCTGTTGCTTTTTCTTCTGTCATTCCATAATTATTCATTATAGTTTGCTTCACAACCATTTCTTAATATATCTTAACAACTTCTTTTTATGTGATTTTTATGTGATTGTCTAGTTATGTTTTATAGGTTGAAATTACAGTATAATGAAAGGTTATAAAAGTTTACACTGTTTAATCATATTATAATTAAATATTATGATTAAGCCATGAAATCATTGTTTCTGTTTTCTATAAATTTCAATTGCAACATGTTCGATAGTAATGATTTCGTGTCGTTTCATAGTCTGTTTGGTTTCTTCAACTGCTTGTTCAATATGGTATTGTAATGACGCTCTACTTGAAATCTTATTCTGTTTAGATGATGAATAAGAACGACTGTTGCAAATATTATTATTATACATAATTTTTGAACTAACTACTATTCCAACCTGTATTTCTTCATCATACTTCATCATTCTTAATAATTCTTTTGGTGGTTTCAACGCATATGAAAGCGCTTTATCACCTTTTAAGCATTTATTGCGAATCTCAACATAATATCTACTTTCTCCTACTCGTTCAGTGTAAATAGACGGTTTCCATTTCCTTTGTAATTCTCTTAAAGCATCACATTGTTTCAGTCTTCGCCACCCTTCACTACCATTAATGTAAGTAGTGATGATTGAAACTAAGCCTTCAGGTAAGCTAGCGCAATTCTCATCCATAAAATTATTCTCTGACATTTTACCCTTACTCATTTTTCTCTTAATATATAAGGCTTTTTCTCTTTAAGTAGTTTTGGCTAGGGGGTTGCTGGTCGGCTGGTCTGGGTTTCAGGTTTAATTTAAATGTCTGTGTGAGCCAGACCTTGCTGTGCGAGCCAGACCTTACTGTGTGAGCCAAACCTTGCTGTGTGAGCCTGACTGTGTTGTGTGAGCCTGACTGTGTTGTGTGAGCCAGACCTTGTTACTTGAGCCATTCTCCCCTTAATTGGGGAGTTCGCCCCCCTTAATTGGGGAGTTCGCCCCCCTTAATTGGGGAGTTCGCCCCCCTTAATTGGGGAGTTCGCCCCCCTTAATTGGGGAGTTCGCCCCCCTTAATTGGGGAGTTCGCCCCCTTAATTGGGGAGTTCGCCCCCCTTAATTGGGGAGTTTACCCACCGTTTTCAAATCCAATGATATAACATTATAACCGAGCGACTTTGCTACTTTACCAACTGAAGAAGTACCACTAAATAGTTCTAATAAGTGCATATATTATTAGAACTATTTAGATATTAATATTTTCACATACATATCGTTGATGTTTTTCAGTTCTCTCGTGTCTTCTTATATCACATTTCCTGAAAACACCACCACATTCACATTCAATAGGTTCTTTTCGTTTTTCCAATATTGTTTCTTTGTTTTGGTGGTAGTGCTCCCTACTTTTATTACATATATGTTCTTTGTTGTTTTCTGCGTATTCCTTCCTCATATTTTGATAGTGTTCCTTATTGTCTTCCTTCCACTCATTAATTGTTCTACCTGCCACACATCTATTCACACAATCATTATTTTGAATGTAATAACCTTCTCTTTTCATTAACTGTTCTCTGTTTTCACATGGGTAGTCTTCTAATAATTCAATCTTACAGTTGTCCATTCCATATTCATCAAACAACAAACGACAGTTTGTTTTATTATTCCATTGTTCTGCCTTGTTATAATTTTGTCTATGTCTTGCCATTCTTTGGCTCAAGCTTTCACAGGTGCTTCCGATGTAGCACTTATTATAACCAACATCTGTTATTTTGTAAATCTTTGCGTTTTTATATTTACTGCTATCCATTAATAACCTAGTTATCTTTTCTTTAACGCAGTTTATAATGTCCATAAGGCAGTGAATTGAAAGCATCAATGTAAAACCTTTTATTTTCATAATTACTGAGTGATTGCTTGACTTGAGACATTGAAAATAATTGATGGTTGCGACTACGAATAAAATTATATGTTATTTCATGCTTTTTGTTTTGAAATAATGCTTCGTGGTAGTTTTGGTAAGTCAGTTCTTTCTTCACCTTGTGTTTCACTACACCTTTTGATTTCTTTTGTTCTTCTTCTTCACCGTGTATTGTAAAAGCATACGATTTAGGCTTTAACCCTATGAATTGTGTTATTGTTTGACCGTTGCACTCATCCTTGAAATAACCGAGTTTTTTCTTATTTGTTTTGTCATGGCAGGGGTGTTCAGGTGGATAATCGCTAAAGTCCATATATTGGTTTAATTCTTTGAAGTCCTTGTAGATGTCCTCAGTGAATGTTTGAATTACATAACTGTCAGTATCAGTATAAACCAGTTTGATGTTTTCATTGTATTTCTTCTTAAGAACATCATAGTAGAACTGATACATATGTAATTTACTGATGTCAAGGATTGTCATTCCTAAGAAAATCGGTTTGTCCAGTTTCAGCTTCGCTTTAGTTTTTTCAACTCCTACAAGGTTTTCATTAATAATAAATCTATTTTTGAATGTTGGATTATTAACACATTTTTCATATCTTACCTCATTATCAACTAATTCAAAGTCCATATGATTTCGTTTGTCTTCCATAGTTTTTCCATACACAGAATTATTCATTAATTTGAATAAATCTTTCTCAAAATCGCTTTTGGCTTCTTTCCTTTTACCAGTGTTGAAGTCAATCCACGGTTTCAACCATGCCCTCTGTTGAAATTTTATTATCCTATGGACTTTACCCATTTTCATTCCCATTTTCAAATAATACTGTAAAGTCTTGATATGAACCACATATTTTTCTTTATCCTTTAGATTTAATATTAACTTACTTGTTTTCTCATCCTTGGGATTTTTGCCATCATAATATATTTTGTAGACTTGCTTTTGATAATCAGAAAGCATACTAACATTTACATTCATTATTTCAGGCGCTAGTGGATAGTCAGAGTGGAAGTCGTGCAATGTTTCGGGATATTCCAAATCAACTTCCATAATATAACCGAACTCGTCGTTTTCATTCCATTTTTCAACACTGGGCGTTTTCTTTGCCCACTTGATATTTTTTAGCGGTAATTTCTGGGACATTGCTAAACCATACAAGTTATTAGCATCCAAGTAGCTAATATAATTTGATGGCTTGTTCTCATCATATGCTTCCCCCATATACTTATTATTTGCCACCGCTAATTTATGACTTACCTGACACATACCACCTCTCATTCCCTTTTCAACCATCTCAAACATTTCTTGGTCATGCAATTGTTCTATTTCAACACCAGTTTTTAGAAGCATCGCGTCCCATGCGAAATTTGGCAACGTATAATAATGAGCGGGGTCTAAACCGTAGTATTCCATACACAAGTCTCTAAAGTTTTCAAATACATCGGTCAGTAGTAAAACATCAGTTCTTAAATACAAGTCGTGATACTGCCCGAGTGTTCTAATCCCGAAGTGCTTCCATACTTTCAGTGCCCTTTCATAATCTTTATCACTTACATGTTCTTCACTCAATTTACTGTAAAACGCTTCTTTCGGTGGTAAAGCCCTTTCCTTAAATCTTTCAAAATCATCAAAGTAGTCATAGGGATAAATACCCTTATCAGTCAATAAATCCAAATCTTCATCGGTTTTAACATACGGGTTTCTAACGCTGTATCTGAAATTGTTCTTCCAATTCTCACGCTTTTTATCATCCTCATATTTACTCAACCTGACCAACTTATCCAACGAAGACGATAAGAAACTGAAACTGTCCTTGAAACAAAGATTTTTAAAACCAAAGGTTATAAACTTTTCGCTGTTCTGAGCGATACATTCTATTTTAGAATTCTTGTTCATTCGTGAGCCTTGTTGATGATTAAGTGGGCATCGTAGTTTTTAAGGTTATGAAGAAACACAGGGATTTTATAATATCTCATACTAAATCGTAGATTGCAGTCCTCGTGGGCGCAACCTCTATACTGTCCCGTAAAGTGGCAATGGTCCCAACACTTCTTTTCTCCTTCCTCAAATTTGTTTCCACAAATGAAGCAGTTAGTGGCATTATTGAAGTCCTCCCAGTCCTTCTCGGTTTCAATACGGTCTTTGTCCTCCTTCATTTTCTCCAAAACTTCCTCTCTGACTTTATTGATTTTCTCAACAAATTTATCCATACAATCCTGACCTCTATATAAGTAAGGCTCACTACTTCCGGTTATAGCATTGACTACATTAATCATAAAACCACACGGACGATGATTTTGATATGATGTAGTTTTAGCTTTTGCCGATTTGCTTTTAACATCAATTGGCACAGTTAAACATTCAAAGTCGGCATAGATTACGAATGGAGCTTTAAGTTTCTTGAAATGGTTTTTGAATTCTATTGTTTCACCTGCTTTTGGCATTTCTATTTTTTGACCCTCAACTGCTAGACATCCTTGTTCTTCGTGTTTCTTTAAAAGTTCTTCGGTCTTGAAACCATGTGAGCAGGTTCTACAGTGATACTTCTTCGCCTTCATCTTGTTAGTCTGA